GAAGCAGCCCACTCGACCCATTTTGCCTGTGCCGGCTCTTGGGAAAGAGCTACCTGACTAGATCCCCCTCCCCCCCGCTCTCTCTTTCTTCGCAACCTTGCATTTCTTTCCTTTTATGTAAGTACCTATCCAATTCCCTTTTGAAAGTTATTATCGAATCTGCTTCCACCCCCTTTTCAGGCCGTGAGTTCCAGACCGTTGATTATCAATCTGGAAAGCAGCCGTGTTCAGCCAGCACTTTGTATGGTTGGAAGACAGATCTATAACTGACGAAAAGTACACAAGAGGCAGCCTCCGTCAAATTCCATTAAACATAAGAGTTTCTGCGATAAGACAGAATGACTGTTGCATTTCTACCAAGGTTGGGTTAAGTTGGAAGCATGCAAACAGTGCAGGGAAGGAGGAGGGGGAATAAGGCCACAGAACAGCTGAGTCAACTTCCCGTGTGACATCCTGGAACTTCTTTTCCAGAGCAGAGCAGATGGCAATCAACTGCTAACCCAATCTTGTCAACCAGCCAAAACCACAGGAACCCAATCTCTCTTCTGCCTCACGATCTGCATGTCATCCATTGCACAACATGCAACTCACGCTTCTCCAATCCACCCTACGAACAAAATAATACAAAAGTATCTCACCAGCCCATGCAAATATTCCTCCAACACGCCCCCCCCCCGACTCACCCACCCCCATCCGCCATCTATTAATCTGTATTAATGTTTCATTATTAATTACTCATCAAAAACTATTTTAATTTTGGAAAGTGTCAGCAGATCAAAAAAGCTATGAGATTACACCAGGTCATGGTGGCCGATTTATGGCACTTATTCCATCTTGTCATTTATTGGTGACGTGGTCTTGGTTCACTTACGATTCACGAATGGCCAGAAGCAACGCGATATTCTCCCGTCAGAGAGAGGCTACTCAACTCCAGAAAATCCTGGACCTCATTTGATTTATGGGCCAAGGATTGCTTTTGATTAACTATTGTAAATTCCCACCCCCAATAAAAGATCAGTCTCTGGAACTTACAATGTTCTTCATTCAATCTGCTCTCCAGAAACCGTAAGATCCATAGATAGCAACGGAAACTAAATGCAAAATTGTCACTGAAATGTTAACAGACACTCATAATCTAATTGCACTAATGAGTTACAAAGCATCTGTTTATCAGGGTTTGAGGACTCGGTCTATGGACAATCATGGTTCTTGGATTCACATGAGTAAATCTGTTTTCTAATCTACACTTACAATAAGCATATTCCTCCTTCTTTATTATCGCCTAAATCAGCCGGTCTAATAGCTGAGCAAATAAGGTTGAAATAATTGATCAGATTAAATGAACCTCTTGTGTTGAAGAGTAGAGTAGTAATGCTAATAACCAGCAATAATCACTGGTTGGGGAAGCTTCGAAAAGAAGACAGTACTTCCAGTTGATCTGACACCATAATATCCACCTTATTCACAGACAAGGCTATGTCGTTGAGAGATACAGATACCTTGAGAATCCATTGTTGAGTATCTCACTCTATTTCTATAGGGAAGGAGGGAATTGTTTCAGAGATTTTTAACATTTATAAGAATTTTAGTACAGGGAAAGGCCAAAAAAATATTGTTTCTCAACTCCAACAACCTGACATCTCATTATATCCTTCAATTCTTTGTTCTTTCCAAATACTCATCTTGAACTATGTAAACCATCTGCTCTAATGTCCTTCCCTGGTAACTTATTACACAAGTTTGTTTCCTTTCATGTAAAACATGTCTGTTCAAGTCTGTTACATTTAGCTTTCTAATCTTTCGTTTGAGTTCCCCATTGTTTGAAAGCTTCACTATAATGAACAATTGGCCTGAGTCACCCGTCAATCCTCTTTATAATCTTAAAAAGTTCATAGTCTCTCGTTTTTTGGAGATAATTAACCTTCTTTAAACTTTCCTCGTAACTTAGATGTCTAAGACCAGATATCATATTGTCTGCCCACATCGATGCCCACATCTCAAGGGCAATAATAACAGACATTCAATACCCCATAAACCTACTAAGAAATACTGTATATTTTACCCCAGTATTCAAGGTACAGTTTGACCAACACCTCATACAGCAAAATCGCCTCTAACCCTCAGCTAATGTTACCCATTACCATGACTGCATTTGTCTTATTTTTATTGCTGCAAAGCAATGAATCTACAGTTTCAAAGACTATTTATTTACAATGATCCCTGGAAATGTGTTGCTAATCAGCATTCTGTCTGACTTTTCCATGAAACATTGTACTTCTTTTGGTTTTGTTTGTTTATATGGCTCCCATGTACAGTAACTTATTTTACATTTACCATAGGAAAACTCTTAGCAATGCTCATTTTCCAGAAAGATGAGATCAAGATGGGAAAGGCTTCATCTAAACCTCTCTTGCGACCTTATGAATCATATCTTAGCATCTTAGTCACTTAGCATCTTAACTTCCAAAATGATCTAAATTCTTTTGGATCCAATTGCATATTTCTTCATTACTGTATTTGCTTATGCTCCTATTTTGATATCACCCCAAACCTGAACATTTTGCTGAAGTGTAACTTTGTCCGTGTCAGTTATATATTAGGATTTGCAAGGTCCCAAGGCCAATTATATTGGTACGCTCCTTGTATCCCCTTTCTAGACTCAAAAGCTTTTGTCGAGTCATTTTCCACAGCTTGACCGCAGTATAGAATGAAATAAGGTACTGGACTGGGCCATATTCAGAGCAGGATAAAACGAAGGGATACAGAACAAATGAAATCAGCTGATATTTCTGATATATATATATATATATAGCATTGGTTAGACCTCGTCTAGAGTAGTGTGTAGTTCTAGTCAATCTAATCATAGGCAGCATATTTATTTCCCGAGTGGGTTCAGGGCTGAACAACCCAAAATAAATTTCGGAATCTACGTTTCAGAAAGAAGGAGGTGTTGAGGTAACCTAATTGAATTTTCTAACATGACGAAGATGATAAGACAGTAAATCCAGATAAACTGCTTAATCTGATGAAGGGCCCAAACAGTATAGTGATGCGGTAAAGAGTTTGGACGTTAGGAGATAATACACATTTCGCCTACAAAATATAATCCGCTTTACAGTATATTCTGTGAAGCGCATTGAGATGTCTCAAAGATGTGATAAGGCGCTTTATCAAATGCAAGGATTATTATTATTAATATACGATGGGAAGTAAGGGAAGCTTATAAACAAACAACTTGAAGAATAAGTAAGCAGGGAAGGTCACTGAAATGAAAAGGATTTGCGAAGCAACAATAGTATAAGAAAGAAGGTAGGTTGAGATCATTCAAAGAGGGGCAACAACAACTTAATTTATATCGCCCTTCACCCAGGGAACATCTCGGGACTAGTTGTTTGCGCCTAATAATCAAATAATTAGTAAATGATCTTATTGTTAACGATAGGACATCGATCCTACGATATTGGGTCAGACAGAATGTGCTGATTTGAGAACAGCAGCAGAACAATTTTTATTTTTTTGAAACCTAGATTGGATTTTTTTTAAAAACAAGAAAAACAAACAATAGAGATAAACTGATTACGTGCGAGCCTAGACACTAGGGCTGCCAGAAATCAGATGCCTCTCTCCAGGCAGGAAATTAAAAAAGTTTTTAAAAATTAATAAGAGGAATAAGTTTCTCCAAGGCTCCAGTTATTTGGCTTTCACTTGAGCATTCAATCAGCAAAACAAGGCACTGAAGTCATTCTGTCTCTGTGAGCAAGAGTCCTGTATCAACTGAATTAGCCTGTTGTTCTAAACTGAGCTTTTGGGGATGATAATTCATCTCAGTGGTTCACCCTCTGTAACAATGATATATTTGCTGGAACGCACAAGTGTTGGTGCTATTTTCATGACCCAAATCAGCCTCTCGTGAGTTACGCGTCACATCTATCGAATTTTAATGAATCAAAGCTTCATACTCTGTATCCCTGTGTATTTATTTAATGTCTTTCTAATAAATAAACACCCTGAACTAAGTCTCTTAATGGCAAAGGCTTACAGTAAACAATCGCTGCATGTGAAAATGGAAGGAATATTTGTTCACAAGATCAGTTTGGGTGAAGACGTCCCTTTGACCCATTTTATCTCAGCCATCTACAATGCCAACCCTACCATCATTCCATTACAGCATTGAGCTGTTTGCTAACTAAAGTCCAGTTTCCTGGACATAGTCATCTCCCTGATAACCTATTGCAGTTTTTTCAAGACATAATTGCAAATATATTCAAAGCATCTTGGAAAGAGATGCTCTTCCACGTTAATACCCCAAAAATGTTTCATTGAGGTCTTTACCGACGTCATTTATAGTCTTTATAAAATATTTGGCATGGTTTTAATGCAGATCCTCTATCATTAAATAACTCTGATGGCACAATTTCCTGGTGTTGTCATTGGCTTGAACGCAAGTTATTGAACATCTGTCCATCAGCTTAACAAAATGAGCATAGAATTAAAAAACAGACACATTTAGTGGCATTATTATAAGGTGCTTCAATGGTTCTCATTTATTAACCCAACACAATGTTATTCTTGGTAATATAAATTTGGATGGATTTCAGTTCTATTAGTGTTTCACTAAACCACATTTGTGACTCATACCCTTTGTGCTGCTCACTCACACTCACTTGACGTTTGCACTGTTCCTTGAATGCAGTTGAATGTTTCACATAAATGAAAACAAGGCGATATCTAGCATGCCTGAGATTCCACCATGAGGCATGAGTAGCTTACAGAACTAGAGAGGATATACCCATAAACATATATACATGTAATAATCTTCAAGAAGAGCTTAGACTTCATAAATATTTCTGAGTCGTGATTTCCTCCTGGTTAGATTTTCACAACCCGTATTGTCTCAGAATACGTGTTGTATCGTACTTTATCTTACCAGTCAATTCACTTTACAGTATATCTTGTGAAACGCTTTGAGGCGTCTCGAAGACGCAATAAGGCGCTGTATCAAATGCAAGGATTATTATTATCTACATGTCATAAATGGTCTTATTGCCTGGGTTTGTGCTTCAACCACACAAAAGGTCATTGCGCCTCCAGGTCAATCTAACTGACTGCTTAGATTCTAATAAATTGGCAATATCGTGTCTCAACTCTATGAACTCTGGACTCCACAGCAGGCAACACAGCCAGGCCTGGAACCTTTGGCACTCAAATCAGCAAGCCTCGGTCATGATGGTTAACTAGAGGTTAACAGAATGCACGAAGGACGTTTTCTTAGTAAAGCTTATCTGATTATTTCAAAGAACAAATAACAAACACTTTGGTTTTGACATTCCAGTGATCCTCTTAGCAAAGCTAGTGTGTGGAATCCACATACCACGGTTCCTGTGGGCTAAGATAACTTAGTTGTATCCTTTAGTTGTTATTAAATGAAACCAATACTTTCATCACAATTTGAAAACAATGTGGATTTTTTTTATATCAAAAGAATAGCTAAAAAGGGGACATTTGCTTTCAGTTCACTCAAAAGATTATGGATGAAAATGGTTTAAACTCTCCTTGTCATAAACTGTCTTTGTTGACGGCATCTAAAGTGAGAATTTAGATTTTTATCTATATAATTATCATCGCTAATAATTATTTTTCACCTTATTCTATTTTTTCATCTAATTTGCTACCACAGATGTTCTGAGGCAATCAGAATTATGAACTTAGATAATTCGATTACTGTACTTCTCAAACAGAAAACCTTTCCTGTTTTGTCGGACTCATTAAGTGTGAACCTTTTTTTTGTGTGAAACTGTGCAACAGTTAAAGTTTTTCATTCTTTACAGGCAAATCCACGGTTTTGTTTATTTATATTATCTAATACAGGATTATTATTATTAATAATACCATAGATAAAATGGTGTGTTTACAAAAGATATGTACACAGTATAAACAGTCCACCCAAACTAAGCTCAGACCTAAAGCCAGTCGTGAATTTCGTGCAGGTCTATTTCTTTCTAAAAGCAGCTGCAATCAGCAGTTTGGCTTCATTTACAGTCGACAATCTGCCTTTGGGTGGATGTGGCATGGAAATGGCTGGTAAACTTCTGCAGCCAGAGAAACTATTCAGAGCGCTGTTTGAGGGACTGGGGTTGGCTGAAAGCCCTTTTGAGCCACTAACTTTAGTCGTGCTGGAAGAGAGAACACGGTGGGATGTATGGCCCTGGCTGCCTACAGAAAAAGGGGAAGAGTTGAGGCTTGGTTGACCATCTGAGTGCTGAGAAAGTGGAAGTACTCCATTTAACTTCTTCAGTTCCAGTAACTGTTCCCGGGCTTGTCCCAGAGCCTCGGTGAGCTCGAAGCGTTCCTCACATTCCCTACGTACAGTTTCCTGGAGAAACGTCATCTGTATGTGGGGAAACAGATCGGAGACATGAGTTTATTCACAGAAAACATTGTAGACACTTTCTTGAAGAAATATCTATTAGAATGCTGTCCACTGTAAAGCAATTGTATGTGGGGAAATACAGTAGAGTGCCATTCCCTGCACTGTACTTGAAGCTACGTTTAATACTATGTCAAAGTACAGGTCTGCAACCGAAGTGAAATTCAATACCATAGGTAAGTGTAGGGTTTAAAATATTAATCTTGTGTGATTGTTTAGTCCATTAATTGTACTGTGTGTGTGTGTGTTGCTAAATATATTGATGTTGGTTGTTAGTGTAAACTCACACTGACCAGGGGAATAATAGGACAAAATCCACTGCACGGAATGATGTGTCCCATCACTCAATGACACTGCTTGTCACAGCTCCATTGCAGAGACTGTGCTTGACATGAAACCTGTTGAAGGACCATCAATTTTCAGTGGGTTACGGCGGGGAAATCGACGTCCCCAGCTGCCTGTTTGGATGGATGTTAGAGATCCCACGGCACTATTCAAAAGGAGGAGGGAGTTTCGCCTGGTATTTTGGCCCAGATAAATAATTGGTCATTCGCTTAACGTGTGCTCTTTGAATGACAATTACTTGGATTAATTACGCCTTTGAACATCTGAAGTACTAATGATCCAACAGCATTTTAGATGAATTAATAAGTTTGCAGGCCATCGGCAGATAGGCTGCCGCATCTGCCAGCAAGACACACAGACCCATCACTTAACAGTAAAATCCTATGAACCGCTTTGAGACGCCCTCCTGACGTGAAAGGCGCTACATTGAACCTAAGGACTATTAGAATTATGATGATTATTTGCATACATACTTCTGCCTGGGCCTGACTCAGTTCTCGTGTTAGCTGCTGCAGTTCCTGTTGAGTGTCTCTCAGCTCTGACGATTTCTGTTGTACCTCTTTCCTCAGGTCCTGAGTTATAGAATCCATTTTGTCCTGTTCTTGCCTTAGCCGGGTCTCCAGGTCTGACACCAGCTTTCCCAGGCTACAGATCTGATCTTCTTTCGAACGGTCCCTCTCCATCAGTCGGGACTGTGCATCCTTAAGCTCCTTCTCCAAGCTGTTTAGCTCCAGTTGCAATCCCTTGGTGGCAGCGTCAATTAAGCCAGGAACCTAACAATAAAGTACACAAACACTTCACTCACTTGGATGCCAAATTCCCCCAATATTTGGTCACTTTTAGCCTAAGATGTGTGCTCTTAGAATGACAATTACTTAGGAGTAATTACAGCTTTCAAAATCTGAATTACTCGTGATCCAAAAAAGCATTTCAGATGAATGTGGATGGTTATTACTGCTGGGAGAACACAGTGATCACAACAGTGGTATTACAATTTTATCTCATAATTCTGTACATAAAAATGAAATGCCTTCACATTGATACACGATCCAGACCCGGCTCCTTATACACAGAAACATCTCTCATGCAAAGCAATATACGGTATCTCAACCATTCTTAGAAATAGAGACTGTTACCAAAGTTAGACTTGGTCTGAAAACCCAACCAAAGAACAGTCCAATGTCACAGGAAAGATACTCACAGTTTAAGCATTTAACCTTTTGGTGCCCTGACCCTAATCTACCGTTACAGTCTGTACAAAACGCAATTTGGCAATCTGATAGCAGATTCTAATCATTATCATTTATATCTTAGAACTGTGATGGACCAATGGCCAAATATTACATTTCAAGAGTCTTTATAATGTATTCAGTTAAAGGAAGAAAGCTTTGTTTTAAACAAAACCATAGAAATTCATAGCACATTCGGCCTACTGAGTATGTGCCAGCTCTTAGAGCAAGATGTTTGTTTAATCCCACTGCCCCACCCTATCACCAAACAACAACAACTTACATTTATATAGCGCCCTTCACATGGGGAAGTGTCCCATACTCATACCCATACCCGGTCAAGCCTCTATCCTTCATATACCTGTCTACTTCCCTTTGAAACCCATAAGGTATTCTGCCTCTATCACCCTTACTTGACAGGGCATTCCATGTCCCAACAGTGCAAATAAAAAGTTTCACTCTATTCTGCTGGTGCAAGTTCCTATAACGTTAGTGTGCTATTATTGTGTGATAGTTTTCAACATTGTTTTGTATAGTTTATCTTACTCTGAATTTCAACTTTCTTTTAAATAAGAGTTTTACTACAATGAAATTGAATGTCCCGACAACGAACTCAGTAATAATGCGACATGATGTTTATGGGTTTGATGTTAACATGTATGACGCAACTCCCTATATTTAATGCAAAATACTTCTGAAGGTTATACCTACTTTACAGGATGTCAGTTAAGAAACTCACTGGATATTTGTCCCCATGCAGACATCCACATTGATTTATGGCAGTGGGTTTACTTCAAATGCACTTACACTATTGTTTGGTATTTAGAAATCATAAGTACAGTATTGATTGGCTTTTTATCAGCCAGGACCATATTGAGAATAAGATTGAATTAAAGTTAGGTTTATTTCATGCACTCAAAGGCAGTTACTTAAATGATTTCTTCAGTTACAAATCAGAGAGACACGAATGTTAAAGACAAAACTGGTAAAAAATGGAAAATGCAATTTACCAGTTTGATGATTCTTTTTGGAAAATACCCGATATGGATAATGCAACTAGGAACATCGAGAGCCGTGTAACTTGACTGAATGCTGCACATTGTATATTTGCGTCTTCGAGTCGTCTCAAAGCGCTTCTCAGAATATACTGTAAAATGAATTGACTGTATGTTTTGTGGGCGAAACGCGGCAGCCAATTGCTGAATTGCAGTGGTCTGTTATTTACTATACATATGAATAACATGGTTGATAGCATTTTAGTTGTCATTTATGATCACGCTGAAAATGCAGACCTTTGCCTGCAGTTCCTTGTTCTCTTTCTTGTATTTACTGACAAGTTCCTGGTGCTTTTGTCTGTCAATGTCCAGGTCCAGCCTGGCTTCTTCCTTCATCCGTAGCACTAGTTCCTGCTGCTCTTTGCAGTGACGTTCACGCTCTTTGGTGAGTTCTTCCTCAACCTGAGAAACGGCAAAAAGCAATGCTTACACCTGAGCCCAATGCCAATGTAGCCTCCGCATTAAACGCAACCAGCCACTGTCCTTGTACAACGGAGTTCCGATTTATTCAACACAATGTGTTAGTTCAACTCAGCACATGCATCAGTTAAATACAATTAATAACTGAATTCAATCAAGAAAATTAGCATCACAAATTTTCTATAATAATAATCCTTGCATTTGATATAGCGCCTAATCACGTCTTTGAGACGTCTCGAAGATGTGATAAGGCGCTGTATCAAATGCAAGGATTATGATAATAGTAGTATCTAGTCGTGACACATTAGAGATTCTATTTTCCAAAAACAAATCTTGGTTGGAAAGATTGTTATTCGGTAAATCTTTCTCCGTACATCCGCTAGCTGATGCAATCTAAGCCATTTTGTGGAGAGTCTGTATTAATTAGTTGCTAGGTAACTGCTCCGTAGCTTTTAGCTCAGGTTCTGTATGACTGGAAGCAGTTTAGTGCAGAATTAATAATAGAAGCAGCTCTTTAAAGCACTCTCTCCTGATTGCCATTGCGAGCAATAATGTAATCACTACAGCAGCTCAATCATGGCACAAAGCAAATGTTAGAAAATAAAAGAGATAATCAAAAAATGTTTTCAGTGAAGAGTAAAAAAAAACTGACGTATAATCTCCCACCCACCCAGCGGCAATCACCGTGACGGCAAGAGACTATTATGCTGTTCAGTAACAGTGTGCACTTGTCGTTAAAGGTCAATGCAAATGGCAATTGAAGTTGTGAATGAGTTGAAATGCATCTTATTGTCACGTTTTATCTCGGTATCTAAGACAGAGCTGAGAAACAGCTGCCCCTGAACACTTCACACACACACACACACACACACACACACACGTGGTTTTTAAATGATAGCTCAATAAATTAAATTCCAATCCATGGTGTCAATCTGAAAAAGACTGTGAAGATCACATAGGTTTCTTTCACATTTGTTGGCTTGCTGTTAGCTCCTATCGTTTCGTCCACAAAAACACACAGTCACTAAACTTCACGGTATATTCTGTGAAGCACTTTGAGACGTCTAGAAGACGTGATAAGGCGCTATATCAAACGCAAGGATTATTATTATTATTATCAGCACAGCAACACACAGAGTTTTCACTTCAATCCCCCCAAAATAAGAATTTTAGAGAGGTTTATTTGTTTTTTAAAAAGAAAGTCTCCCAACCATAATTTCCCAGGTCAGATCCACTTATTAACTCTTACACATTCTACTTGTGCAGGCAGGGCGTATTCCTATTGAAGTGTGTCGAACCAAACTATTAGCATCACGCTGTATATTCACCGAAGCTACGAGATAGAAAGCCTCTTGCCTTTTCTCTCCAGTTATCTTCACCCCCTAACTTCTGTCTAAAGTTTTCCCGTAGTTGCTCAATCCTGTTCTGATGAGAAATCACCATCAGCTCCCTGTAAGCAAAGAGTTACAGTCAAAATGTAAGAGTGGATAGTAATTGGCAAATATTCAAAACAGGCCTTCCCAAAATATCTAACCCGTCAATAATGAACTATTGTTGGAAAGAATGAGTTAGGTATGAATAACAACAAAATGAACACACAAGGGAGAGGGAAATAGATAGGAAAGAGAGGAATGGGTATAAAAATAATATAAAAATACAGGAAATAACAGTATTTGTATTCTGGTGGCAGAAAGGGAACACTTCCTAAGCCTGGCCTCATAAACACTTTACATCTTTTGAGCCAAGCATTGTAAGTCTGAGACAAGTGAATAACAGTCCAAAGAAACATTGGATCGATGGAGAAGTAAATAACTGACGGAAGCTAGAGAGGGAGTTACGTGAAGGAGGAATAGGAAATATTCATCGTCTTCTGGAGCTCAATGGCTATCAATCATTCAATAGACTGGCAAAAAGTCTTTTGCCTCCTGGAGTAATAAACAGAGATATTTCAAATGGTACCCATTTGCCATGGTTATGAGCAAAATGAACAATGGTATCAAAATGTGGTATCAAATGTTCAGGCCATAAGTAATAGAAAAAGGTAGACTTCCCTTTCTAGTCTGGTGAGACAGTCGTTAACATAGATTTCTATTTCTAAAGGTTTAGTTTTGAGGAATTTACTGAGCATAGAATATTTTTTAAAAATCTAACAGTTAATGATCTTGGACACAGCATTAATTAAAGTACCATAAAACCTTATTGTAGGAAATCATTTCTCCGCAAGAGGCTGGATGTTATTAAAACTAGGCCAAGAAAGTCATGTTTCAGCAATTTGGAAAAGAGAGCAAACATTCGGACCTTATTATACTGTTATCCGTCACTAGTATAAGTGCTCTGGGAACCCGCCCGGCATGGAGGGCGCTATATAAATGCAAATTGTTGCTGTTATTATCCGTGAAGCTTAAGACAGACTTCATACAGCTGAATCAGAAAAGAAAATAGTCAGATGGCCATCTACAGCGTATAGCAGCTTCATCTAAACGCACACACTGTCTCATTTTTTGGCAAAGTAAAATATTCCCAAGAACAGGAACATAGAGAAATAGAAAGAATCACGGAAAAAAACAGTGTTACAATATATGTGGCAATTTATTCATGGTGAGCGAGGTGTTTAATCCACAAGAGCCAGAGAGGATAATCTCTCCTGCTTCTTGAACGGATTTGCCAATGTGTGATATCTGTCCACTGAAAAGTGAAACCCAGAAATAATCAGCTACATGACGCAGATACACGACTGTTCTGCACTTACCTGCCCAGGCCAGTAATGTTTTTCTTCTTCAAAAAAAAATGTTTCCTTAGATTTACATTTCAGCAAAGGAAGACCAGCAGATGGTTTGATAGAAATACTGATGAGTTCAAAACACCTATGCAGGAAATAAGATCACTGGAAATCTAAACAGAAACTGTTGCTTGCTGTGAGAGGTGATTTGTATTCAAAGTCAGTGACATTCTGCCGCCAGAGAAAGGTTTAAAACTGTAAATGTTTAATCTTCTTAGCATCATTTGATATCATGGATTGTCACAAGAATTTGAACAAGATTACTTTTTTGTCACAGTGAACTCAGAATGTCATGAGTCATGACCCAGATTATGTACTTTATGGTCTTGAAAATTACAGGAACAGTTTTTCCTCATCATTGGAATGAGAAGATGAACTTTTAGCCCAAATCAGACACTGCCCGACACCGGCACAACCCCTCAGTTTATACATGTGGGTTTGGTTTAAATACCCATATAAAATCCCAGAAACCAAAGCCAATGTTACAACAGCGATGGAATGCTGAAGGAGAGTGTGTATATTGATGTGTGACTGGGCTATGAGTGCGTAAAGGTCTTGAGGAAAATATAGTACTAAATCCTACGTGTGTGTGGGTGTCGGTGCATATGCCGTGCTGAAAACTGGTTTGCCTCACTTGTACTGTATTTTTAGGTTCAATACAACCCGTGTTAATCACAACACTAATATGATGACTTTAACCTCTTGCAGGAATAAATCTGTCTCAGTGCTAAAAGCAGAATGAGTTCTAAAATAAGAAATGTGCATTTGAACTGCTGGGCATTTTGAATAAGGGAGAATTAGCTTCAAAGTTGTTTCAACAAGAAAATACATCAATTAAGCTAAACAGTCATTTATCTTATTGGAAAATGCTTCACTTTTAATAAAAAAAATTATACTTGAACCCTTATAGTATTGAATAAAATTACACAGACAAAATGGATTTTTTTGTTAATTGAGAAACCTATTTTGGATATAACCCAGCTAGGACTTGAACCAGTGCAGAACACCCAACATAACTGACACAAGCAAGTGGACTGAAATTGCTCGTTCAGTGCAGCATTTATGGTGATGGAAATCCCATTAACAGTCAGCGCTGCCCAGAGTCTTAACACTAACAACATTTCAGCCAACAAGAAAACAGAAGCTTGGGTTTTAAATCCTTAAAGACTGTAGAAGGAAAGACAGAAATGTTCAGAGTGCTTGGAAAAGGAGTTGGGTACAGTTTTGAAGAGTCTCGATTTCAACAAAGTTTAGGTGCGTGGAAGAGCCCTTTTGATGGCTAGCTCTGATCAGAGCCATGTAAATGGCTTCAGTGACTTGGCTCTGAAGATGGAAGGGAATCATTCTGTTTGCATTCCTTAAAGCTTTTTTGACAATTGTGGGTGAAACATAAATATTTACCAATATCTGGCCTAGATATTGCCAGGTCACCACTTCCTAGTGCATGTGGATAGCGTTTGTTGTCTTCCGTTGACGAGGCTTGCATCTTGCCTGAAATTTCAGCGTCCAAAGATTCTCTCAAAGTGACTTGTGGCAGCACATACATTGCTGTAATGGTCACCCACAGTGGTTTGTGAATTTCCACAGAGGCTTTAAGAACCAGGATTTGCGAGGAGCATAAACTGGGTCACCAGAAACTAATTATATGATCAGTCCCTTCATCATTTAAATAAGCATGGAATGAACACTGCCTCACATTACATTATAAGGTGACTGGGAATTTGGCAAGATAGATATCACATGAGGTGTCAAAAATTGTACATTACCTTTATTATTATTCTGAGAATATTCTTCATCTGTGGTTGATGTGAACCATAACATTGTGGCTTGCTGCCTGGTGGCTTGTTTCTGCTTGTGTGTATATAGTAAATGATTCCAACAGTCCATGGAAGGACGACGATGAAATAGAATCACTGGAAGTGACTACCTGGCACTCATTAGATTTGGTAATTAATAAATTTGCCAAGCCTGAATAATGAGTGCGTCACTGACCTCTGAGATTCAGTCAGACATTGGTGAGTATGATCAGTGTAATCGCTCCCAGGTGACTAGAGGGAATATGTGGCATTGAAATTCACAGCCGCAGTTTCTTTCACAGCTGCAGATAATAGCTATATAACAAATATAAAAATTCTCTGCTGATGCAAAGACGCCGGTTTTATTAAGGCCAAATAGTTCTTCTTGGCTTCAAACCTCTGTAAACCATAATCATTCCCTCCTCCAGAGCCTCCATCCTTTATTACGTTTGTTCTGCCGGAAAGTATCATTGAACAAAGTAGACGTTGCCCTCACATGCTGACTCACAAAAGAGCACAGAATGAGTAGCAGCAGGTATTTCTTTATTACCTATTTCATTGTGTCTTACAGTCCTCATGGAATATGTTTTCAATGTAGATAGTCCAGGAAAGGAACTTATGTTAGTCAATCTTCCTCTTCTCGCCAAATTGATCAAACTTTGTTATCATATGGTATTCTGACGCAGATATATTAACTTTTTGCAGAAAATCCAGATATGGGATAATTTCTAGAAGCTAATAACTTAAGACTGCAGTAAAATGTCTCTAACATTTACGGTTAAATAATTTTGTACTATTCTCGAACTTCAACTTGAGTTTCCATTTTTATCAAAGAATGCATGTTTTCTACACACCATGAAAAATACTGTGGCGTGCTGCTTTGAGCATAATGGGCATACTGTTACAGCATTCAAAGATTACCAAAGTTCCTCTTGTAAACCCTGTTAATAAGTGCAATTCAGAAATAGGTTATAAAATAAATTGAAATGGGGCAAAATAAACACAAAGAAATGTCACTCACCATGAATGGAGAACAACCATAATTTATCTGATTCTTTATCACTCACGCATTCATGTTAATGAAGGGCAGTTGAGTATATTAATATGATTTTTTTATTTGAATACTTATAATGAAAATAAGGAAAATGTGTTTTGATTGCATTTTGCCGGCAGCAACGTTGAAAGAAGAACCATTATTCAAATTGATTGTTAAAGGATTCCAAACAACGAAAAACGATGCAGTGAAAAATATTTCACACTTTACAAAAACATACTTTCTTTGACAAAGTGTAAGCTTAACTTCAAGTCTGAAGCAATTAAAATTATTCAGCTGTAAATGGTAGTTAGATAGGGTTTACTGGAGTCATAAGATTTTGCACAAGTATTTGGGAATTGAGCCAGCATATAGTCAAGCATAGAAAAAAAATCTTCCTTCTTAATGGTCTCTGAATGCCAGAAGTTACAAGAAGTAGTATCGATACTTGGGTTTTGGCTAAACTACAGAATCAAATGTCTGCAGATAACATCTTCATTGTCCTAAGCAAGTTACATTGCAGTTTTAAATCCCCCAGTAAATCAGCTGCCTCTTTTCTACAAATACTGTACGTAACACTCACCATTGAGGATTTCCTACATGTTTTTCTACCTATTACCACTTTATTTACAGCATAACAAAATATCTCCAAGATAATCAGTTACCTATTCCAACCTGCTAACTTTTAAAGGTACTTATAATATCTAGTGGGAGAAAAACACTTGTGAAACCTAACATTTAATAAAGCAAATTTATGTTATCAAATAATTGGTTTCCAAGAATGCACTCAGAATCTTTCACAATTTTGAGCAATCTCAATTTTTAAGACAAAATGGTCTTACAAATTAATACAGTCCAAGGTGGAATTTCAGGCCTTAAGAGTCGTGGTCTCAAGTTTATAAGGGGATAAAGGTAAATAATTTACATTAAATTATGTGGAGGAAGTTAAATATGTAGAGCATTTTTTCCCAAGAAAGCAGTGGAGGTGGATAGTTTTGATCGAATTAGAAAGATTTAGAAGTTAAGACTCTAGTCTTCTTTTCCATTCGTTCTTTGGGCAACTGTGCTGCAAGCTATTATGTCCTGATTATTCTCATAACTAGGATCTATTAACATTGGGTAGCTCAGTAACAGTGAGGGAAACAAGCTGGCATCAAAGAAATGATCACAAAGAAATGTGAAAAAATAACAATCATAATAATTTGGTTACTGAATCCACGACTGTTTGTGGGACACTGTTCTGTGCAATTGGCTGCTGCATTTTGCCCACAAATATACAGTCAATTCACTTTACAGTATATCTTATGAAGCTCTTTGAGACATCTCAAAGATGTGATAATGCGCTACATCAAATGCAAGTTATATTATTATGATTAGCAACTCAAGCCATAACTGCATGACCCAATGTAAAAGTTTTACCTTTCCTGCATTAATGCTGTTAGCTCTCCTTTCGTCTGTTTGAGGGCAGATTTCAGAGTCTGCAGTTCATTCTGTGAGCGTGAACATTGTCTTTGTATTTCTGCCTCTTTACACAGGTTCTCTTCCAGCTTTTCTTGTAAACGGTTATATTCTTGTTGCCAACGAAAACACTCTTCCTCTTTTTCTTTCATTTCTCTACCTTGTCTGTGATAAGACGAACAAATGAAATCAACTGTTTTTTTCTCCAATGAAAGAACATATTATCATATAATAATTTAATAACCTTTCTCATACCTGGATTCAATTTCTTCTTGTGCACAATCCAATTGTTGTATTCTGGAGAGAAGACTGTCTGCTTCTTTTGATTTATTCCTGTAGAGATACAATGAAAATATGGTTAAATCTGGCATCATCTTTTTCTATTTCATGCAAATGTAATCCGAATTTGAATTTTCAGCTGCTGAGTTTGCAACCTCTACAATAGTCCCTCTTAGAATCATATTTATAGATGTTCTCAGTCCGTGTGAGCTTGGTAAGAACAGTAAGATAAATCCTTTTGGACTAGGTATCTATAAAGTTATCTGGAGTAAATTGTGAGCAAGATGAAAACTGATGCAAATATCATCAGAAACTGGGAGAATGAAACTTGAGACATTTACAAATCAAATCTCAACATCAAGATATTTTATGGCTTTGTGGTGTAGCCCAAAGTGTGTTACTCATTATAATACATGTTAATTGAATAGAATCATAGAATTGTACAGCACAAAAAGAGGCCATTCGGCCCATCGAGTCTGTGCGGTTCTTTGAATAGAGCAATTAATGTCAGTCCCACTCCCGGCCCTTTCCCCATAACCTGCAAACCCGTCCTCCTCAAATACCCGTCCACCGCGTTTTTAAAAGTAGTTATCGAATCAGCCTCGACCGCCCTTTCAAGCAATGCCTTCCAGATTCCAACAACTCGCTGCGTGAAAATAAAATAATTTATTACCATTCTGTAGCATTCCTGTCGAAGAGTTATAATCAAATAGATAGCAGATTTGCACATGATTTAACTAGCGGAGATTTCAATATTTACTTCTCTGTAAGTTAGAGGGGAGTAACATGCCTTGAATAACACACATAATATAATCAGGTAATAGCTGACAGTGAGTTACAAGACTATAATCCAGTGGGCAATGGGTTGACGATATGATACAAATGGAAAGCGATTTCTATGAGCTACCCTGATGACTGATTGGTAAAGCCCAAAAAAACATCAGCCAAGGTTCTGAATCATACTCTCAGCATAAGTTACCTCGTTCAGTGAAAATAAAGAAAATTGAAGGTAAAGCGGCCCAAATGTGAGCATGATATTCATGAACTGATATAAAATGTATCACCAATAATTTTTGGAAAAATTGAAACTAATTTATATTCCAATTATCCTTTTTATTCCAATGATACAAAATCTTAATCTTATCATTCAACTAAGGGTACTCAATCTCAAGTCAGTCTCAAAACTGAGCAAGTTGTCCAGATGGTCTATAGACCATGCTGATTCAACATTTTGTATTTACATTACGTAATAAAGGTATTCATATGAACACAATGGCATATAGTACTCTCTGATTACACCATCAAACATGACTTCAGATTCCACCTCCTCCTCCAGGTAATTGAATACTTATTCTGTGAAGTTTTCAAAGAAAGCAAATGGGACTAAAATGTGAAATATGTCAATTATTCCCATTCTCCCTTCATGAGAGTCTGGTTACGCAGCTTGAAACGTGCATTGTGTTCTGTTGCATATAGTGCACATGAAAATGTGGGGCACATCTAACAAAGTCAGAACTGGTCAGAACTGTTTGCAAAAGGCAAATGTACAGAGGAAAGCTGGAAAGCCTTTACTAGGCACAAATGTTTTACTGAAACCCACTTATGTGCTCAGAGTAAAGTGATAGGGGTGAGGGGGTGGGGGGGTGGAGTGGAGAGAATGTACAGCTTCTGGGATGATGAATGCTAATGGTATTAAAACAAGACATATTAAGGCCACACAAAATTGAAAAGGTTTTAAAATTGCATTGCTCAGAAAACTGCAACATTAATGTTTTCACATTCGAGTGAACAATAGATTAAATAAAATTAGGTGTTGGTTTATATCAAATCTCATTTTTGGGCTCTTTGTCCTTACTGCTTCAACTGTTGCAGACATCTTTAGTAAAAAGTAACCTGGGATAAAAGTGTACAGATAAAACAGTATGTAACTGTGCTTTTGTCCCCATCAGCCTTATTAATGCTTGAACCTAGTATATGTATGTCGGCCACTGAGGGTAAAATAACAAAATTTTGTTGGTATTATTTATATAATACAATACAAATCCATGATGCATTGGTCAGATTATCATCTTTTTCTGGCATCCATATCATATTCTAATCAAATTACAAGTCGTCAATGACTAAAATCATAATTACGATAAGTAAGAAAATTGCTAAGCAAATATGCTCCGCTTTGTTGCTCTTGAAATAGTGATTGCAATTCTTTTGGCAGTCAAAATTTGTAACATTTTCTTTATGTATGTATATCAACTTTTGTTCTGGCAAAAGTATTCCTCAATTCATTTCTTTGGGGAGAAGTTGCCATATTAAACTAAAGAAAGGAGGTGATACTTATGACGTTTCCTATTGCATTTGATGTGATATCAAGGTCACGGGATCTTTAACATCCTGAACAGATTGGGACCTTGCACTGAATTGGAGTGAACCCACAACCTGACTGAGCGGTAAGAGTGCGACCCACTGAGTGAGACTGACACCTTTAGAATTTGACCTGACACCAGATGCGGCTTGACCTGCTGTACATATTCTGCTTTTAATCCTGTTTACAACTATGTGCTTTCAGTTGCCACATGTTTTCAGTTTAATTGTTTTGTGTGACTGTGTGCAATGTTCAATTACAGGAAAGACTTTCCTTTTGACGTACGTTTTGCAACTAAGACTTGGCATAAATCAAACATAGGTGGGGGGGGGAACAGAAATGTTGATTAGAAAAGAATGCACTGAAAAGCATCTTAAGCCCATAGATAACAAACGGTTAGTGTCCTGTTACGAACAGGCTGTTATAAGAAATTCTCTCATCAGCTTTCTTTTTCCGTACAATTGATGCCAATGGGGGGGACAGAATGAAGCTGAGACTTGTGAGGGCCTTCTTACATGGAACAGGAACAGTGAGTCATGTTGTGTCTGATTTAGACAAGTACCCAAAAGGGACAAGTTGTAGTGCACTGCCTGCCAAACCCACAAGTTATGGGAACAAATACAGAAATAGACTTTACATATCGTATTTAAGTGAGAGCATTATATTCTCCTCACTGTAATAAATAAGTTTTCATAGCTTCAATATCGATATCTTGTTGTTGTGAGAGTGTGGGGGAATGTTTGTGTCAGATGTTTCACATTCAATTCTGAGTTGATGGTTTCCTCTTCTTAGGATTGAGTTCCTCACGGACATGAAACTTATACTATTCTTGGATTGAATCATACCACTGATAGGCTTAAAGCTTCGGTGCTTGGGGTGAATTTTACTGCACACTATTCCCGAGAAATGGTCTGTCTGTGTCAATGGGTGGGAGATTTCTCTGAAATTTCTCAGTGTGCATTTTATGGATATCAGACCTATCTTAGGAACTTTTGTTAAAGATCACCGCTGCCATTCTTTAAATGCAGTGAGAGAAGAAAAATAATGAAAATTGAATGGCTTCCTGACATTCACACAGCTTCAAGCTCTGGAGTCTTGAGTCTCTACTCACATCATTTCAACCATAACCAAAAATACATCACATTTGGGAAGAGATCAAGAATAAATTCCCACCATCCAATCCTCCCACGCCTCAACATCTCTTTGTCCCATTCCTAAAACCAGCTGCCTTCATTGTAACTGGTCAGTCAATCACGTACCACAATCAGTTAATATCTATCAATCCATTACTACCATCTTTGTAAGCTATACTCATTAGTACATACAATCTAGTTAGTTGTTCAAATTGCCAACACTTTTGCTTACGGCGGGTTTAGCTTATGCTGATCAATAAAACAACTGTGATCCTTTTCCTACATCTTGATAAAACAAAGGCTTTGCGAAAAGATAGCCAGTGTTACTGACGAGCACGAGGTAGATCCCAGTGTGTTTACAAAAGGATGTGCTCCTGTAAATCGCTTTGTGATGTTCTCCCACTGTGTAAGGCACTATAGAAAAGTATATTGTCAGTTGAGACTGAGATGCACTCTTTATAACACCAACTTCCAATAGTTAGTCAAAAAAAGCTTTCATATTAGTATTGGGAAATCAGATAAGTTGGTTAATCAAACAGGGAACAGATAGTAGATTAGAATTCTGTAGTAAGAAAAGTTATGAGTTCATTTTTGCAGATTGATTTCAAATAGTTTTACAGCTGTAATCGTACAGTTACAGTCGGCCACACCACATGTATTAAAACCTTGTGACTAATGTTACTAAGCACGTTGTGAAAGAAACCAATCTATCTACTATAAATCTGTGTGCATTTCCTAGATAATATGTAAATTAATGTTTGCTTTCCACTTTAATCTCGCTGCAGCTACGGGCAGTTAGAAGTTTTATTAGGCTCTTAGTATAGGTTCTTCTTTCATTAGTTAAGTATTGACATAGTCTATTAAAAGCTAAATATATAGCACAGAAGTCACACCTAATCATGAAAGTGATCCAAATAAATCCTGCAATTGAATTGAGAGATTTAAAAAAGAAAATGGACCATTCAATTTGTATGTGTATGTACTACATATATGTATAATGTACACACGTTATTAACCAAGTGCATTGATTTTGTTTCTTCTTGTTAACAAAAGTGTTGGGTACTTATGAGCTGACTGATGCTGTAGGTGGCATGTGATTGAATGACCACAACTAGGCATGTCTAATTCACCAAGACACGAGATATGTAGTTTTGGTGATTATTGGACTGATAGGCAATGACTGAGTTCACATCTGCCCACAAAATACACAGTAACTACACTTCATAAGATATCCATAAATTTATGCCATAATTCAAGAAATATTCAACCAAGAAAACATTGAAAACATACCAGAGATCAAACCAGACTTATCTCGACTCGTGCGAATGTTCGGGGGAATTCTGCTTGATGACACTGCGGGTTACAGGTTGGCCACTACTGAGCTAGGCTTTATTAATACAGATAAATGCAAGATACTACATTTAGGAAGTAAGAATTGCAAGTAATTGGATAGAACAGAACTTTCTAAGGGAGAGCAGAGGAAGATCTAGGGGTGTTAGCTGATGCATTGTTCACCATGTCAAAACACTGTGAGCAGCAATAAACAAATAGGACACTGGGCTACATTGCCAAATCAATTGATTTCAGATGGTCAGAGTCACACTGAGTTATATAGTGTTCTGGTCAGGCCATACCTGATGTACAACACACAGTGTAGGTCACCATGACATAAAGGGGGCATCCAGGCCCTAGAGGCGGTGCAGAGGAGAGCAGCGAGGATGATTGCCAGTCTGACAGGAATGAGTTATAAGCAAGGATTAAACAAGCTTGAGCTCTTCAGACTTGTAAGGAGATGTCTCAAAGGACCTTATAGAGATGTATAAAGTGTTAAATGTGCTTATGAATGTAAACCCAGAACAATATTTTCAGATGCCACGAGACAGTAGAACACAAAGGACAATTTCAGGAAGTTTGTCTATACCCAGAGGGTGATTCATGTTTGGAATAGGTTGCCTGGAAAGGCACTTGAGGCCATTAATTTTAAAAATAGCTTGATGCTGTGATGAGATGACAGTAGGGTGGGTATTATGGGATGAGATCAAATGGGTCAAAGAGCCTTCTTCATCCAAACCAATCTTGTGATCTTGCAGTCTTATGTACATAGGTGTTTGGCTTCACAAAACACTGCGCAACCATATTTTACACATGGATACAATGAGGTTTGTCTAATATAAATGAAACATTACTTTTCTGCTATCATTTGCGAAATTTTGTTTCCCAGATAAATGATCCCACTTAAATGAATTACTAAATATATATTAAACATATGCTGAAATGCTGCACCCTGACCAGTGCCTTGTAAACTTGTTGTTGTTGTAAATATATAGGATAGAGAAACTCTCTTATAAGCTTTAGGACCCCGGATAATCCCAATGTGGCTGGGAGGTTTATGATGTTATTAATTACCAGTGATACCAGGCAAATCACAACCTTGTTTTCAAAGATTACTTATGATTATAAGATGTATTTTTTCCACTCACATTAACAGCTCCTTGTAGCATTCTAATTCAGCAGTAACTTTTTGCACATTCTGCTGCAGAGTGTCCAGCTGATTGGTTAGGCCTGTTAGATTCAACAAGTGGTAGCAGAAACAGCATTAGAAATAAAACTACAACAGCAATGATTTTACATGTATATAGCTCCTTCCACATTGAGTAGAGAACGCAGTTCATTCAGACACCTTGCACAAATCTGCTTGGGCTTTCATTTCACATCTTGTAATGGTCAGTGGAACCTTATAAAGGTGTCTGCGTTATAAGCAGTTATAAGTTAGGGCACTCGCTTTCCAAGTGAGAGACCTGAGTTCAATTCCAGGCAGAGGGCGAAACCTTGGGCAAGTTTCCTTACTCCACACAGAGCCTAATAATAATCCCTCCAAAACCAAAAACAATAATAAATTGGTCATTTTCAATCTACGACTGTTTGTGGGACATTGCTGTGCGCAATTGGCTGCCGCGTTCGCCCACAAATATACAGTCAATTCACTTTACAGTGTGTTCTGTGAAGCGCTTTGGGACGTTCTCCCGACGTGAAAAGCGCTATATCAAATGCAAGGATTATTATTATTATTATTATAAGGCACCCCACTAGAATGCAAGTCCACTTAAAATATGGGCTTTATGGGTTTATATATATTTACATTATTATATAATAGGTTTTATATATTTACATTATATATAATAGGGTTTATATATATATTTACATTATATATAAAACTTGATAGTGTTAGGAAGTCATACTCAAAATATATAAATAATTATCATTCCCAGGTCTGAGAGTCTTTCTGACCTAGTTTACAAATAAATATTAAGGAAGGAAACAATACGTTTTTACAATCTTTACAATTCGTTACTCCACATTGAAAAATATTTGTTGAAATAAGTAATAATATGCTCAGAAAAAGTTTTGAAAGTATTGCAAATAACTACAGCTGGGCAGAACAACATAGAAGTTATATAAATAAGTTTTAGTTACTAGGACCACCTTGGTCTTGAACCTAAAGGCATTACTTGGCTCAAGTTCTTATTTGTAAACTCTGTGCATTGTATCTTGGTAGAAGGCAGGGCAAGTTGCCCTGATCTGACTGAGGCTCTCAATAATATTTTGCATATGACATTACTGGCTCTAAATGCCAAGCAGCTGTTAGTCAGAGCAAATGGATCAATTCCAGGATCAGAAGCAACACAAAGAGTTATGTGATTATACATTGTTTTACCCATTGCTGGCTTAGGACTAAATCAGTTTCATAATTAAAACCAAGGCGGCAGATAACCTTTGAAAAGAAATTGCTACCTTATACGGCAGCCAGTACTCTTAACGTTTCACTAACAAATGATCTATCAAACACTTCTGAAATCATGCCATTAGTCTTTCAAGATCATTGAATGTATTATTTTAGCATAATCCGTCTGAATATATTTTAGAAAAATTCAATTATTGTGGGCAAAAATGCTGCCCTGGCCCCGGAAGGGTTAATTGTGAGTTAATTGGAAGCCGCATTTTATTTTTAAAACTTATTTTTCAACAGCAACAGTGCAATGAAACAAAGCAGTGCTTTGAAGCCTTTTCGAACTGGGAATATTTTAATGAATATCATAACTGGGTGGACGGACACTCAATGAAGTGGCAGCACAGCTGGTAGGCAAGTTGAGAAGATAATACCATTCAACAAATGTCATTCTGACTTTTTCGATGTGGAGAGCTGCAAATCCACTTGAGCTACTTTTTTTTCATGCACAGACACAAAATTTGGTCATCATGACCTCGGTTAGCTGACACTCACCCAATGTCTGTTTTTGCAACTCATGGCATCTACTTTGAAACTCGGATGCTCTCTGGGCTGAAGCCTGGAGTTGCAGCGTTTCTACGGCTGCTGCATCTGAGTGAAGTCTGAGATCTTTCATCTCTTGTTGAAGAAAAGTTACCACTTGATTGGATTTCTTAAGACTTCCTTGCAATTCAGAAATTTCTGAAAGAAAGAAAGAAAAAAAAAAGAGACTATTTTAATTGCGTAACCCATTGATCTCTTGGGTTTGAACCCCTTGAATGTTGTTTACATATACAGTATTTAACAAAAAAAATCTAAAATTTATCAACGCTCCTGTAGATATGAATAGGGAAAGTTTATGGCTTTCTGCCCTGATGCCACTTCATGCGGAGGTAGTCGGTGCCTAAGGCACACAGTTCACTGATTTTTCTCACTGAAACAAAAGCCACCAGAATGTCTATCCTCCCTGGTGAGAGCCTGATGTCATTGGTTGCCATAGTCACACTGGGTTTCACTCCGAGCAGCAGCTGCAGCAACAGATTACAGACCCTTAAATGGATCAAAAAAGAGCGTTCCCCAACTGAGACACCTGCTTTGGAAGATGGGGCTATAACAGAGCGATCGAAGCATTTGCGAGCCAAATCAAAATTCAAGTTTGGTTCGGTTATTGTAACTCGTGTTCAGTTGCCACGACCCAATGATAAGGCTTTGTTATTTTTTTTAAATCGTGGCCAAAAATGTAGCCCTGTGGCCCCTTTAAGGCTGAAGTGGCGAGTTGGCAGACTGTCCCCCTCTGCATCCACATAAAACATGGTTTCCATAATGACAGGGGTGGAGAGCAGCTGTGGGTGGACACAGGCTATGTATGGGCTGAATTGGGGCCAGAGGTTAATTTTTGTCTGGTGCGAAAACTTATTTTTTTTAAAAAATTGACAAGCAGAGGAATGAGAGGTTGAACTGCAGGGGTTGGGTGGGGGAATCAGAAACTTTTTGGGACTGGGAAGTTCAGAAGTAATGCTCCCCTGATGTAATGTGTAGCGACTGTTTTTGGCCATAAAAATAAGCTGAATTTCCACTGGATTCTGGCTGAAAGACAAAAGAGAATAATGAGGGAGAAATCCTATTAACAGAGCTCAAGGCTGAAGAAAAAGATGTCAACTTGCAGTAACCTTTCCCTTCCCCTCTCCGTAAAGAGATCTGAACCATAGTTAAGATGCCATAAAGCCTGAAAGAAAATGATAAAGCATGTTTTGGCAGTAGAAAGGGATGGGAAAGTTTTCCGGAACATATTTTGCCACGATAGTGTGAAACCATTGAGATCACTGAGTGAGACTGGCCTAGTGATTTGTATCTGAACTGAACTTTACTACTGTAATAACAGATTTAAAACTTTTTTTAATGTAATGAGTTTTAAAAAATCATCAATGCTCTGGGACAGCGGCCAAGCGATCTGGTGACAAGAAAGAGTTAGCATCAATGAGATTTTTTTTAAGTGATACTGTCATATAATTTTCTCCTCAAAGATTAACAGTGTACAATAAAAATCATTATTTATATAAGACTATATTAGGTTTGCCAAATAGCACATTTGCATTACACCTAGTAGTTCTCAGCATCTTGTATTTCATGATGCTTAAATAAGTTTATTCCCGATCAACCTGGTCTCTGGAGTATCAGATCTGCAGCTCTTTAGGAGAGGAATGTCCAGAGTATATTGGTCCTGAACTGGTGATAAAGATATAAAAACAGAAGTCGCTGGGGACACTCAGCATCTCAGGCAGCACCTATGCTGAGAGAGGAAAGTGAGGTACCGTTTCAGGTTGATGACCTTTCTGAAACGTTAACTCACTTTCCTCTCTCTCCATAGATGCTGCCTGAGCTGCTGAGTGTCCCCAGCGACTCCTGTTTTTATTTCAGGTTTCCAGCATCTGCAGTATTTTGCCTTCTGGAGATAAAAATGATGTTTTTGCTGCCTTGCTAAATATGAGGCTGATTGGGTAACACCTGTACTGTGTCCAATCTCCAATCTCTTAATGCCTCTCATTTGCTGCTGATGTATTCAATCGTGATTTATTTCCAAACATAAGAGGACTGATTGTCTTAACACGAGGGATGTGGACGTGTAGAAAAATCATCCAGATTCTTTTCAGCTCCAGTCTGTCAATATGTTTATGAGCTTTTTGTAGACACGAGAGTCCCTTAAGCCCAATTCATTCCCAAATGTGCTTTTTATTTAGTCTGAAAGATATACTGTGCAAACTAATACAGAAAAGTAGTGATTACTCAAGACATATCCCTGGTAGAAGCAGTTTTGTAATGCTCTATGCAGATACACTACTCTGGCAGAGGGATCAATCCCCTAAGCAGTCTAAAAGCTGCCTCATCAGAGGTTTATACATTGGAATAGTTCCACCTGGGACTCCTCCAACTTTACCAATAGCAATAGGTATCTGAACGTGAAGTCTGTGTGCTCAAATAGCCTAATCAATCATTCAGTGAGAAGGAACACACAGAACCATGAAGACACTTAATCTGTTATAGTAGCTTGGTAAATACTAGAAGGGAAGGCTAATTTAAAGCGCAATTTAATAATAATAATAATAATAATCCTTGCATTTGATGCAGGTGCCTTATCACGTCTTTGAGATGTCTCAAAGCGCTTCACAGGACATACTGTAAAGTGTAGTGACTGTGTTTTTTTCTGGGCAAAACGCAGCAGCCAATTGCTTTGTACTTGCAACTTCAGAAATTTCCTAGGGGTTTCTCTAGTGCTTATGGGAATGTGTATTGCTTTAAAGTAAATAGCACAATGTTATCCATTATACAAATTCCCTGGGTGACGGTTTGTGCATGCAACCTTTCCTCTTTTATCAGCTGTGTGTCTCCGATTGTCTAGAATTCCTTTTACATGACAATGACGAATAGTCTTTCTTGATACGGTAGTAAATAAAAGATGAGTATGCTTAAGTCAATCTCCGGAGAGGGTTGATGATAGCTGATGACGGGTGAGCCGGGCTATGTGGTGGACCTTGGCCTGGCCATTGTTCTCTCCCTTCCCCTGAAGAGAAGTAGCTATTAATCCCACACACGTTCCATTAGTGCACTCGTACATATTGGTAAACTAATGTCCAATACTTCATACTTAGTCAGCAGTGTCTGAGATACAAGGTGGTGCAATAAACTGCTTACATAGTATGAAAGTTTGTTACACACTGAGAGAAAATGAGGTATGCTTCATCACATCGCATCCCATCGTTTTTAGCCAATCTACCTGGTTCAGATTTTATTTTCTGCTCACTGTAAAGCAGGATTTGAATGTGCTGGTAGAAAGTGATTCTGCTGGTAGGCAAATTCTCTTCTTGCCTGTTTCAAGGTTGAGATCCTGCTATCGGATTCTACCAATCTTTACGGATAATTTTCCCAGTTTTAAAAGTCAGGTTTTACTGATTTTCACCTAGAAGTTAACAGATTTGCTGATTCACACAATCATGCTATATTTGGTTTTGTTTCCTCTTTGAGTCACGCATTTGTAGTCTGTTATAGCATTTTCTCTCACCTCGCATCAGGAACACCAACAAAAAAAGCATTTTTAAATATACTAAAATCACTGGAAGGAGAGCTAAAAGGACTATTGGTAAAATACCATCAATTTTGTCTCACCCCATTTGAAAAGATGTTTCGATGATTGTTTCCCCTTGAAACTTCTTAAATTTTCCCTTAGTTTTTTTTACCCCCAAAAATGTAGGATTAACCTTTTCACCGATTTTAAAAGAAAACTGTAATATTTCAGGGAAATTGGGAGTAACAACAACACGTGAAAAAATGACGAACCATTTTTAGCTCATTAAAAGCGAAATTTTAAAATGGAAGCAATAAAATGACCACTCCACTTTGTCAGCAGTATGAGCTGTAAATGGCAACTGGAGAGAAACTCCACTGTGAGTTTAAGAATATCATTTCCTCCTCTGGAAAACTGGCACCATGAGAAATAAATTGGCTCAGTATGCAGTCTGGAAAACTAAAAAGACACTTACATAATGCCTAGTTACAATGATTTGGTGTACGTACTCACTAAAGAGCAGGGGGATATTACATAAACCGTATCTCAATATAAAATATCCATTGGGGCTTTTGGAAGATACGGTAGCTGGCCATTTTTTTCAGAGTTCACTATAACACGTATCATTTACTAACACTTCCATAGTTGCCCCATTCCTTCATCTGTTTTTTGCTTCGATTTCATAAGAGGCCCAAAAGCTTCACGCTATTTGATACACCCAGAATTTCCATAAAACCCTTAAAAACAGCATGTTGTGCAGGAGACCAGGAAACCATTAACAAATATATCCAAGGAAGTGAGAAGAGGGGTGGGGGGGGGAATACTTCTTTCTGTCTTGTTGCAAAGTTAGAAATTGTGAAATTTCAGGGAGGAAAATACATGGTTGGTTGTAAAGCAGTACATTAAGTAAATAGTACTAGGAATGCAGCTGCCTCTTTTTGGTTAGGGAAATAAAATGAAGGGACGATTAAACCCACATTGACATGAACTGATCACAGTGTCACTGCTGGAAGCTTGGTCAAAAGTCACCAGTCTCTCTCTTGACCGGCAATAGTCCATGGTACACAAGCCATCAGAAAAGAAGTGAACTGCGCTTTGAGACGTTACCCTGCGTGGAGGGCGCTATATAAGTGCAAGTTGTTGTTGCTGTTGTTGAACATATAGTATTTTTGATATTGAGAAACAGGGCATTTGTGGCACATATTCCTAAAACCAGCCCTATTTCCCAGGTTTAATGAGAGATGTCTTTCGTGAAACTGATACATTTTATTCATCCACCTGGATAGAGAGAATAGTCCACAATTGAATATCCTAACTAGGTACAGACCATATGCTATTGTCCCAGGTGTTTCCTGAACATCTCAGTTCGAACAGCCCCAATTCATATTGACAGCTCTAAATACCATCATTGAATATCGTTCAAACATGTCTGTCAGCATTTTTTTAGAAATACAGCAGATGCACAATTAGTGCAAATAAAACCATCTCTTGCTGCTTAATAATAAGCACAGTGGAATGAATCAAGTTATTAACCGCACAAAGTGAAAAGCAAGAACCTTACAATTGTTCCTGTGATGCTTCAAGTGAAATACAGCTCGCTGGTCAACCACAAATATCAGCAGGCATCTGATGGCTTTTATTTAGCAGAACAGCAGAAAGAAACCGCAAATATTGCTACCCTGTTGGGGCACTTTATCGTTCAGTGTTTGGAATGCTTCTTACCACATGGCAGAATTCATTTGAAAATAGTCATCGTGAGAAAATTTCCACTATCAGGAATGTGCATTGGTATCTCAGGCATTGCCATTTCAAATGGGATTTCTTAAGTAAGGACTTTGAATCATCACATCACACAGAAACATGCAAAGGCCACTTTGACTCAATCTTGTCACTATCCTCCAAATCCAGAACTTTATAAGAAAGAATCCGTATTTGACTCATGGGGAGAAATTTCACTTGGGTCTAGATTTGCTCATTTTAGAGTGTTCAGAATACACCCTGCGTAAATCAAACATGTCACTTATAAGGCTGTAATGGCTACTTGACTGCAGTGCAGTTAAAATAATAATCCATGCTTTTGATATGGCACCTTTCACATTGGAAGGAAGTCTCAAAGTGCTTCACAGGAATACTGCAAGGTGTGGTGACTGTGTATTTTGTAGGCAAAATACGTGTAGACTACGTAGAATAAGTATACATACTTTGGTATGTATACTTATTATAGTATACATCCTACCGGCGTGAAAGGAGGTATAGAAATGTAATTTTGCTATTGTTGTTATGTTGATGACTATAAATGTACATCAACAAATTTGTTGCATAAGTGTAAGTATATGCAATAACTCCAACGCTGTAATATATATGCAATAACTCCAACGCTGTAATATATATGCCAACTTAAGTTCTTGAAAACATTATTGAAAACACAATAGGAACCCGACCAGTAGATTATTTGACTTATTTGCTTTGTCTCTTCACAGTATATTGATCTGTTTTATTTTCCCTTCTGTTTCTGACCATTATAATTTATTCCCTATTCCTACCTAATGTGATAGATAGCCGGTTAGAATGTATTTGACTAGCTACCCAGAAATGATACCAAGAGCACTTCACTGAAATTGGATCAGTTCATTCTGTAAAAATGTGAGCTAAAAATACTAATCTCTTGAGATCATTAATGCAGCCCCACTGCAAATATATAACATATTTCACAATAATCCGCTATTGATTCAACACTCAATAAATGTGGAGCGATTAAATCCTTCAAATGAGGGCATCACATAGACTGCTGAGCACATTGATGTCCATCATGACACACGGAAATAAAGAAAAGACTGAACACAGACTAAAAGTGCTCAGTAAACTTGCAAAATTCTGTATATTTAAAGAGCAACAGATACATGAAAATAATGAACCAATCTTCAGTTCATATTATTTAAAACCCTCTGAAAACTATTAATCACTCCTTTATTGGACGACCCCAGAGAATGGGCTCGATTCTGACAGTCCATTGCCAAACATGTCATCTTGGAGCTAGTTTAACTCCAAGGAGACCACACTTACCTTCCTCCCAAGGAGGATAAAGTAAATCAGATAAATGAATTGCAGCTCTAGATATGCAGTTTTTTTCAGAGTTGGTTTGGGACTAGTTAACAGTTTTAGCTCTGTGAATGAATGGCGGGTACAGATCTTAGATATATTATTCGTGTATAAAAAAAGCTACTCAAAAATAGTTACAAATTGCACTTAGTGACACATGTTGAAGTTGTCTAGCTAACGGTGGAATGCATTATATTTGTGCACAAGCCAATTTTCTCTTGCCTCAATACACCACTCTCTTCGCCTTAAAGAGAGGTGAAGACAAACCACAGTACTCAGCGGAAAAAGGGGACATTAAAATCTCATTGAAATTCAATCAAGCATGGTCTTACAATAAATTTGTTTCTTAAAAGCACAGAGTGTAAGGTGCGCAATATCAGTAGGACATTTAATGTAATGCATTGAGCATCAATTACTTACTGCTTGTTTTCAAAGCGATTTAGGAACACATAGGACTGGAAAGCATAACTGCAGTCCACCTGTCCAGTTCCAAAACAGCAGAAGATAAACTGATGACTGGAATAATTTTTCCTTTTTTTTACGGCAAACATATTTAAGGGGCTAATTAGCTCCCCTGCGTGGAGCCATACAGCATCAGCTCAGTGGACACGCTTCACATCATGGAGCTGCACCGTGACAATCACACATTGTCCAACTGATAACCCGGGAAATAACTAATATGGTTTGCAGGTCAGCCCGCAATCACGCTTAGTAAATTCGATCACATACAACAAAGTGAAAAGGCTGGCAGAAGAAGTGGGTTAGAATTTTGGTTTGAAAGCAGGATTTGTACTTGAGATGTACAGACATATAGATTCATTGCCAGAATAACATCAGGGATTTTGACTGTAGTCGGGGCTGTTCCCAGCTGAGAAAAAGGGCTGTCTGACAGCTGCTCAGGTCACATGTCAGTTGGGTGGAAGGAGCTCAGTCTTGATCCAGTTGAAGTCCGAGCACCAAGCTGCCTTGGATACTGACCTCAGTTTAACAGCAGGAGCTCAGAAGCCTCATTACCAATGGCTGTTGATTCAGATGAAAGAGGCACAGACCCAAAGAGGTTTGGATCCTGCTGACAAGCATCCGTGGGCCACATCTCACCTGTCTAAACATATTATTTGAGATCTCCTCTGCAGTGGAAATACTGAATATTAAGACAATGAATCAATATATTTTGTTATGCGCTGGAAATTCTCCAGTAGGTTGAGAGCACCTGCCAGTCACAGAGATTTCAGACCTTTCAGTCATTTTCAGGAAGATTTAGGCATTTGAATAGCTCAACCACCGAAGCTTGTTTTAATAATAAAAATCAAGCATCAAGCGTCTTGGAATCCCAGGCCAACACCAATTTTACTTTCAGAACTAAACATTAATGAATGAAGGACTAAGCCAGTTCGCAGTGGATGAGAAGAAAAGATATTACACAAAAAGCACACTCTGTTATGAATTATGATAAAAGCAGGAATGCTTTTATTCACTGTCTTGTATTCTAATTTTTTATTTGTTATTTTATATTTTATTATTATCTGTGAATTTATTTTTCTACCCTCAGGGTTCAAGCACTCTGGCACCTCACTCATGTGGCCATTATTCACATTGTGAGTCTGCGAGGCTAGTCTATTGTGGGGGGCATCGCAGCTGAGAGACATCTTGGATTCACCCGTCATCAACATGTATGCACATCCTAGCAGGAGTCTCTCGATAAGCATTAGAGGAACACTGGCTGATTATTCACCCCCACCACTTCCTTTCCAATGCAGGATTGCTGAAGGCAAATGAAAGTACCCCCAGTTTCTGCTCTGGCTGAGAACAACCAATTCAGCATAGACCAGGATATGAACCTACACCCTTCTGATCTGTTACATTCTCTTGCTAAACCAGGTACCCATCAGGCCATCAGGAAATATGGATGATAAATTCCCTCCAGAGTGAATATTCACGTTGCAATGGATCAAGTACATCTGCATTCATAATGCTAAAATAATAATAATAATCGGAGTCCTGTAGCTGAGTGGTCAGAGCACTCGTTTTGCAAGCGAGACACCTGGGTTCAATTCCAGGCAGAGGGCGAAACCTTGGGCAAGTTTCCTTACTCCACACAGAGCCTAATAATAATCCCTCCAAAACAAAAATAAATTGGTCATTTTCAATCCATGACTATTTGTGGGACATTGCTGTGCACAATTGGCTGCCGCGTTTCGCCCACAAAAAAAAGTCAATTCACTTTTCAGAATATTCTGTGAAGTGCTTTGAGACGTCTAGAAGACATGAAAAGCACTATATCAAATGCAAGGATTATTATTATTGTTAATAATCCTTTCATTTGATATAGCGCCTTATCACGTCTTTGAGACATATCAAAGAGTAAATAAATAGAGTCCGACTTGCGGAATTCAAGGAGGAAACAATGTTATTGGTAAGGATTATTATTAATATTATTATTACTGTTGTTGACTGAAGATACATTCATCTGTGGTGGGAACAACTGAAAATGTAAAGCCACTGATCTGTACTCACTATTTGCAGAACTGCTCTTTCACTCATAACAGTTTGAGTTTCTAAAAAGCAGAATATATAAATATTCTAGCGCTTCCTGGTATTTATCTGTCGCTCATTAAGCATTTTTATGTCTCGGCTCCAACAGCAGGATTGCACTCACCCGTGTGTACAGCACTGCTCGTGACCTCCATGCAACGTGTCAGGGTTTTGCTGAAAGCCCTCCATATCATGGAATTGCTACTTGCCTCCTCTCTGATCACTGCCAGTTCAGGCCTCATCCCCTGGAACAAGGAGACAGCTTGCTGCAGGATACACTCTTGTCGCTTTGCTCTCTCTCTGTGAAACATGGAATTGCTTGAGTTTGGGCCAGATCTTAAAACCCAACCATTCGAACGGTTTCTTGCTCACTGCCTCGCGCACCGCCCAAAACAAATGATGTGCAGCTTTAAATCAGGGTCAAGAATTAGAGCATCTCACTGCAGTCCCACCGTACAATTTGAACAGATTCAACACTCTCACCTCAAAGAGACCCTGGACTGAGCACGTAGAGAATGGAACTACTAGCAGCAATATATTTTAGGGGTATTGCAACAGATGACTAACCACACCCATCCCCCCCGCCACCCCCCCACCACCCCCAGGCATTTCTTTTAACTTGCTCGATAGAGAAACTGCTGGCTTTAATCATTCGTACCAACGCTACAAACATGCAATGTGTCACCTGCTTTGTTTGATCCCTTTTGCCCACTGCAAAACAAAAGAATCTGTGGGCCTGCTGGGACACAGTAATCTTTTCAAAGGTTCCAAACAGTTGTTGAACATCTGCTGCCTTTTCCTGTCATGCTATCCTGATTCCTTATTAAAAAACAAACCTTAATTTCACATGCTATGCGCTCTCAGAGGAACTTAATGAAAGCAGACATTTTAATGATATATTTCCCCCCACAGTGGTTGAGTACCAATTTACCAGTTTCTTTACCTGAAGAGTTCGGATTGGCGCTGAGCTTCTTTCAGCTGACCCTGAATGTCTTCCGTTTTCTGAGACATGTTCTTCAGTTCTTTCTGCTTATTTGCAAGCTGCCCATTCAAGTAGTTTAAGCTGGGGGAATACAAATATGTGGGGAATGCAATTAGTTTAGAAAAGGAGGAGAAAGAGGATACAAATACAAATCATGCAGTGGATGAATTCACTACATTATATGACAATAGAATAGGCATTTCACCATGAACATATCCAATGAAACCGAATCGAATCTCTCGCACGAATACAAACATGTTTTAACATTCCGATTGCTTACAAAATGTCCTTGTACAGTAATCAGTTTTGTATTAGGCTTTAAATGTGTGGTTTGTGATAAGTGCTTATTTTCCCCTGGATTTAATTTTTCTGTGTTGTTCCATGGCTGTGCCCAAACTGCTGTTGACTCAAATTGTCACTTTATTTAATTGTATTTAATTCAAATCATTGACTTGGAAATTTGTGAGTCTTTGTATGGTTCGGGAGCCCGGGACATATATGGAGGGGCCAACTTTTCAGTTCAATGCGAAAATGCTTTTGTAAGTGAAAAATGATGCTTTTTGTTCATTTGTTTATTTTTCATTGGAGATTTGTGAATGTTGGCAAAACATCAAGACAGCAACAAGACCATGGTTATGTTTCAAGAGAATGGCAAATGCAGGTTTCATATGCTGGAAAAAGCTGTGTCAGATATGTAAATAGAGCTACAATATAACCTTTAAAAGTTGTATTTAATTGACAACACAGCAGTGCTAATGCTCAGTGCCATGGAGTAGCATTAGTCTCGAGGACATTCAACATTCATCTCTTGAGCTGAGCTGCATCAAGCAGTGAAGAGGCAAAAGAAGACAGAATGAAGCATCTCATGGCCATAAATGAGAGAAAACTAAAGGGGAAAGTTTGATCTGAGTAATCTTTTACGCCTCTTGGCAGCTAGTTACAGGGGCTTTGGAGCAGAAAGGACAGCTGCGGTGGTCCACACTGCAGACAACGGACAAAGAACCAAAAATGAAGTAACGGATCAGGAGACCTCATAAAAAAAATTTGTGCACTCGCAGTCTAGATTTATTTTGAAACTGCTCAAGTTCGAACCAGTCAAAATTTATGAACAGAAAGCAACTGGAATGACTGAATGCTTCATCATTGTTTATTTGATGTACTGTGGCCACTTGTTCAGTCCAGTCCTGAGGGACCGTGACCCGAGATGCTAGATAACTGGTGCAGCCATTGAGTCAAACTTCCTGTATAAAATCACTCTATTCTACTGGTTTCCTGACTTTAGAAACTTGACAGTATAACAGGATGGGCATTGCATGGGAATGGTGTATCTGTCCACTGTGATATCACGTGCCTACTAGTTCTGGCTGGAAAAAAAAATGTCACGAAAGCCCAGATGGCTTTAATAATTTTACGTATATTATTATTTTAGCTGGTAATTCATAACCCCAACAATGTAGATGAAAGAATATACTGACTTAGCATACGGTTCCTTTTCCGAAGAGCACATATGCAAAATATCAGATCAAGCTGATTATTTTAATGAAATAAAATGGAGAGAAACAAATACAAATAAATATGGGGATCCAACAATCTACTGCTTATAGGTGCTTTCACGCTAGATGGATATAAAAGCAATAATTAAACATATATCCATTGAATAAATTAGCAAATGTATTTCTCATTAGTTAGCAATTCTTAAAATACTTTTTTCTAAAGATATTGAGTCAGTTGCAGAGACTGACAAGTAGATGGGCTCAATTGGAAGGTGTGGCCCATGCAAGATTGGCAAGAATGCCCTCACAGCTTCATGCCCTCATACCTCCCTGACCCTCCGATTTGCTTACCCCCCCCCACTCCACCACCCGCTGCCTCCGCTTGGCTGCCTCCAGTCTCCTGTTTGTACCTCGTCCCCTCCTCTCCACCATCAGTGGCAGTGCCTTCAGTCACAGCGCCCTGAAACTCTGGAACCCACTCCCTCAATTGCTCCGCCTTGCCCTCTCCTCCCTCCCCACCTTCAAGTCCCACCTAAACACCTTCCTTTTTGATCGTGTTTATGGTCTCCTCCCCCCTCCCTCTCCCCCTGGCTCAGGGTCAGACTCCGCCACTGTCAACCGCTCCGAGACGCTACCCTGTGTGAAGGGCGCTGTATAAATCCAAGTTGTTGTTGAATGCTGTTCAGCTTGTAGCTCAGTTACTGAGGAGATTGCTGGTGGAAGCCTATCTTGCAACACTAAAGTGCTGCCTGCATATTCTGTAAATGGAGATCAGTGAGGAATGTAATGAAAGGGATGGCTTCAAACATTGAAATTTCCAAGTGAGATACTGTATTCTGCTTGTCGGAAAGTTTCAGATGATTGCGTATATTGTTGAATAAGCACACAACCTACAATGCAATATCTCACCAGAGGCTCCCTTAATACTGACCACTTTAGGGTTCCCTCTTTAGTGAACTATTTTGTAAATTAAATGATGACACAATATGAACAAGTTAACCATGTTGTTCTCAACTGAAATGGTTCCCTCCTTTAGATTTTTCTATTTGATTTGTAGCTTTCCAAGCACAATAAAATGATTTTAGTGTACCTCACCACAGTACATCTAGCGATGGGCAGTACGACCTGTGTGTGCACAGCAAGAACTACACAAATGAGCTGAGTAACTCATTATAATAGACTTGTTAGCTTGGTTCCAATAGAAAGTAGAGTAATGTGGGTGTGTATTAAATTTGAGTGGATGATTGGGCCAAGCAAAGTTTCAAATTCTAACTGCTTCTTCCTCCATTTGCTCAAGTGAATGGAAGGTCCCCCCACCCCCCCACTCTTTTCTCCAATCTCCCATGGAAAAGCACATTTTAAAATGTTTCACCTAAGGAGAAACAATTTGTCATGCTAAAGAGAATATTCCTTATTTATGTTTCAGATAATGCTGTTCAAATGGATTTACAGGTTCATTATATACTGTAGCTATACTTCTGGCATCAGGTCAATACTAAACAGAAGGAAATCCTTAAATTACGATGTTGTGAAATAGTTTGACTATATGTAGGATCACTGAAGTATGAAGATCTACCCTGTTTATAGTGTGGGTACACAAAGTACGGCAAAAAATTTATGTTCTCATTTGAATAAATTATTCAGGTGCGAGACTGGGACTATTTGTCCTTTCGTCTCCACAACGACTGAGCTCACAGCTCCTAAAAACATTGAGGTCGATATTCTGAATGTCAGTCATTTTTATAGCAACGTACAGCCAGGCAGTAAATAGAGTTCAGGCATCAAGTCTGCTTTGAACAGTATTGATGGTGTACTGTACACCATCAACAATACAAGCCAGGCCTATTGATCACAACAGACTTCATTCCAGTTTTCGGAATTCATCTGTTTCAAGTCTTCAAATGTATATATTGTTAGTAAGACCCACAGGAAAAAAGACTATATGTGACTAACCATAGTAACAAAAGAGGACCATCAGTAACCTACCCATCCCATTTCCTACCAAATTCCTACCTCTAAATCAAATAACACCACATCCTTTTAGTTGACAGGAATGTATGTTCGTTCCTTTTTGAAATCCTTTGTAGTTTCTGGTTCTACCACCTGTTGCTGTAATCTGTTCCACATGCCTATCATGTGTACTTAAAAAAAAGTCTCCTGCATTTCCTATTCTCTTTTGTTGTTCCAAGAAGGGAAAGAAGCAACATGTTTGAAGAATTCAAATCTCCATATAAATGGGATTGAAAACCTGACATCTATAGGGGAACAGAAGACACTGGACACAAAGATAAGAAAATAAACATTTTATTTCTGGTACGTGGTAAGTATTAAGATAATGTAAATTTTCGCTTGAATTTTAAAATCGAAACACATACTAGTGAGGTTATGTTCACCATAACCTTAAGCTGTATTCAGAAGTAGACAGAATATACACAATTCTAAAGTAGTTGAGTTCAAGGAAAGACTGAAGAAGCTTAATCTGTATACTCACAATAGAAATCCCTCCATGATCTTGCTCTCCCCTACCTCTGCGACCTCCTAACCCCCTACCATCCTGCTTGATCCCTCCACTCAGCGGGCTCCGGCCTGCTTCACGTCCCCCGCCTCGCTCACCCCACTATTGGCGGGCGGGCCTTCTGCCACTCTGCCCCATCCTCTGGAACTCCATCCCCCAGTCCCTCCATCTCACCCTCTCCCTCGCCACCTTCAAGACCCATCTCAAGACCCTCCTCTTTGACCGTGCTTTCGATCTCCCTTCTAGCCTCCCTGCCCTCCACTCTTCCTGACCCCAACCCCCACTCAGGTCCGAAACTCTGTCTGTCCAGCGCCTTGGGACATCCTCCCAACTTGAAAGGCGCTATACACATGTAATTTTGTGGTTGTTGCTGTTATAGAAAGAAGCTGAGGGAGACGTTATTGAGATATATTATCTACTAAATGGCATGGAGAGTGTAAACCCAGAGCATTACTTAAGATTAAAACCAGAAAATGTAGGAAAAGGTGGCATTCATTTAAAGTAGTGAAAACAGATCTGATTTTTTAAACATACATTAGAAAAAATGTAAAGCAGTTAGGGACAGTCAAAAAGAAGTTTGCTGCTATACTGAATAAAACAGGGTAGGTTAGTGGAAACATGAGCATCAGTGAACTTAATAACTTCATATTTGAATTCATCTGTGAAACAACCAGTCCAAACTGACTGCTCATATGTCCAACACAAACATCTCAAATACAAGTGATCCACCTTAAAACCAATGCAGATGTTCATGATCAACAGGTACATCCACTGACCTAAAGATTGACATTTGCCAAATACAAGCAACTTTTTGTTCTACAGGCAGAATAATAAGCTTCAAATGGTTTCAAAAAAGTTGTCTTGACCTTGAAGAAAGTCCTAGATTCAGAGATAAAAATTTTGAAGGAATCTTGTGAAATATTGGGTGGGGAAGTTAGATGAATCAATGGCCCACTCCCGCTTTTTTTATTCACAGAAAACCTTCTCACTATTCACAGAAAACCTTCTCTCTATGCAAAACATTTTTCAACTCTTTCCTGAAACAGTATTGAGGAGCACAATCTTTTTCAAAC